CTTGTAATTTTCGAAAGTCGATAACCCGACAGATGTTAATTCTGATCGAATTCTTTTACGATAAACGTTCAGAGATTCCTCAAGATATATTACTAATCTTACATATCATATTATTCGTGCAAAAATTAAAAATAATTTTGCTGAACACAGTCTGGGGATTTGAAACAAGGTGCTTCCTGAAATCAGACCATGCGGCAAAGAAAGAGTAATTCCCACATTCCGCGGCAGCCATTTTCTCCACAATCTCACATCCATTTATTTCAATTAAACAGTTCACTCGATACCATTAGTCGCGTGCGGAACGGCGAACAGAGCACGGCTATGATGACACGACGGGAGAATTCAATGAAGCTTGAAAGCCGGTGCACAACACCGTGGAGTATCGCGATTGTAAATCCGCCGGATCGTTTGGATCTCGCGAGGCTGCTCCCTAGACCGTCGGAATTTATCGGAATCGAAGACGCACCGAACAGTAAAACTAGGTATTACGCTCAGGACGATGACGCAAGCTCGTGTGCTTCTATTTGCGGCAACCACACGCGCAGATCAAACCGCACTCAAGCTCGCGTTCCGATTTCGCGCGCGTGACGTCGCGCCGAGAAGAACGGAAACTGCGGTGTCGAATAACGGATCGACTCTTACAAAATGTTGCCGCTTAAACGTTACTGCTTACGTGCATTTTTGTGTGAAATGTTACTGCTTACTTACCGCTTAAACGTTACTGTTTACTTGCACCCGCACGCTCTACGTTTCTCAAGCCAAGCTCGAGTAACAACCAGTTGATCATTTAAACGTTAACTTAGAAGGTTGATAACTTTTATTAACTCAACTTAGGGTTATTAGAAGCTATTAACTTTATTAATAGACTTATTTAATAATAACTTAATTTAGTAATGTAGTAAAAGAATTACCAACTTACTAAATGTAGTGTAGTAAAAAAACAAACTTAATAATTTCTTTTATAAAGTTATTAAATTTATAACCTACTAACCTGTAATGTAACTCAGTAATTAAAATGTCGTTACCTTTTAATTATAACTTAAAAGTTATTAAACTTCTTAACCTAACTTACAAGTAAACCTACCCAAAACGTGTACAGTCCGATTTTTTTCTAATTTAGCACAAATGTAGAAATATAAAAAATATTTAGGTTATTTTTTTGGCCCACTTTGAATTTCACGGGCAGTTTATAGCTTTTTAATGTTCTCATCATCAAGTATAACAAAAAATGCATAACAACTAAAATTAAATACAAAATATAGCTAAATAATTTTAACAAAATCGACATAGCTGAGACACGAACCATTCTAAATTTCTTTAACCGAGATTCCAATCGAAATATTTCAAATCTGGGCTAAATTAGTCAAAAATAGTTCAAATCTCGGCCAAACCGAAAAATTATTTGTATAAATTTTTTTCAATTTTTTACATGTTTTGTTTAAACATTTTATTATTTATACAATAATTTTACACGTTTGACTTCATATTCATGATCAGCAAACCAAAAACGCCTATATCTTGTATTCAATTTTATTTCTTATGTATTTTTGTTGCACTTGTTGATGATAGGAGTAAGAACATTAAAAAGCTATAAACTGCTTGTGAAACTCAAAGTGAGCTAAAATGAAAAAATATGACTTAAATATTTTTTGCAGTTCTACATTCGTGCCAAATTAGAAAGAAATCGCAGTGTAACTTTTAGGTAGGTTTACTTGTTAGTTAATTCTAGATAAGTCAACTTTCAATTTAAACCGGTTATTAAGACACGCTTTAATATGAACTTATTAACATTTTTAAAGAATATAATTCTTTCATCTCAGCTTACTTTGTAAAATAAGAAAATATAAAATATTATTAGTAGAATTTTTTCCGTTTCTCTGAGCGCCAGTGTTCTTTTTTATATGGAAATTTGAGTTCAAGACGATATTTTCTTATAAGAAACTTTTTTTATTATTTCATAAGGTATCACATAAAGTAAACCTACGAGTAAATCACAAAAATGATCGTCGTATGCTGGAAGTAATTTATAGAACGCATAACACATATCGTGCTTCTTTCTTTCTTTTCTCTCTCTCTCTCTCTCTCTCTCTTGCTCTCACTCTCGCTTTCGCTCTCCGCAACGACCCACTTTTCGTAAAGAAAACGAACGAAATAAGATCTATTCCGTCCGGATGTTTTACGAGAGGACGTGTGTCCCTGTCGCGCGCGCAGAGAGAGAGAGAGAGAGAGTCAACTCGCAATAAAAATAACGGCGATATATTACGGGACGTATTTATAGAGAAGAGTCTTCTCTGGTCCCTCCCCCGTCGGGCAATCGCCTACGATTGGATCGAAGCCCATTAATTATTTCCGAAGCTGCCAGCACCGTCGAAGGAAACGGGTTCGATTCTCAATAACGAGCCGCCGTATGTACTCTTCTCGTTGTACGACTATCGTATCCGTCATGCAATGACAAAATAACGCGTCTGCTCTGTGCGATAACTCGCCACTCGAACGGCTACGTTGATTTGTTGCTCACGACCGCGTTGATGTTGCGCGAAATCGACAAAATCAAAATTCGATGTGAAAATTACGCGACGTTTTCTAACACTACGAGTCGAATTGCCTTCATCTTCTTACCGCCTCTTATACGAAAGAAGAAATGTATATCTCGAATCGTCTTCGTTTTTCATTTGTACAAATTTCTTGGAGCAAAATCTCATTCAAAACATGTGAAAATTCACTCAAAACGGCAGTGAAAATACTCGGAATCGTAAGAGTTCCACTCGAGCTTAAAATAGGTTCTGATTCCATACCAATGACTCAATTCATTATAGTAAATTTGTTCTTATGACAGTAGAATATATTTGATTCACTTTTCAACTCAGGGTGGTAATATTCACCGAATAATTCAGAGTGGAGAATTTGTTCTATATAAATGAAAAATCATTCAAATCCGAATGACTTAGCTGTCACTCCATTTTTCTTCACTTGAAGAAATTTTGAGAGTAAAGAAAACTGTTCAAAACGTAATAGATAGTTCTTATTAATAGAAAAAAATATTCTCAATAAATATTTCAATTTATTAATATGAATTTGTTTCTATGACGATAAAATATATTTGATATATTTTGCTCTTCAGTTTGGAGTAAAAATTCAGAGTGACGAATTCGTTCTATGTGAGCAAAAAATTACTCGAATTCGCGCGACTCGACTACCAATCCGCTCTCTTCGAGTGAAATTCCATACTAAAAACTTTAAAGATTAAAGATTAATTTAAAGATATTTACGACAAAAATTTGAATTAAAATAACAGCAAACGTTATTATCATTTCGTTCATAGTAGCGACGTTTCATTAGCCCGGACTAATTCTCCGCTAATTGTCGTCCCGAACGCACTGCCCGGCGCACAGAGATCCTTCTGTTAATTTCGCCCTCGTGGTCTCTCATCGTCATCATCGCACTCGAGCTCGTAATTAGCTCGATAAGAACGCCGGCGAAAGATCGAGCGCAGGAAGGAGCGCTTGATTTTTCATTTGCCGCCGCTTCTGTTTCCCCTTAACGTTCTTCACCCCCTTTCGCCGCCGTCGACGGCGACGACGACGACGACGGCGTCGTGTCCCTACGTGAATGGATGCACAGTGTCCGACATTCGAGGCGTAATGACGCGCGTGCACTTAAATATAGTGGCTGGAGTCTGGACTCTGGAGAGAGGAGAGGAGAGCTCCGGTCCGGCGGCGTGTCTCGTAAAAATAGACACCGAGACTCGGCGAGCACCTCGAACGCAGCGCGCCGATCGATCCTTCAATTTCCTCGCTGTCCGCCGTAGATCAACGGCGGATTTTTTTCGTTAACATTCAGCGTTAATTAATTGGACGGAGTGCTCTTCGCAGAATCGCACCGAGAATGAATCGAGGACTCGCAGGACTTTGGACAGAAATAAAAATTGGTTAAAGTTTAGGGAGAATCGTAAAAGATTGTAAAATTCATACTCCTGTTGTTTTACAATTTCTTAAAGCCCGCATAAATTTTATCTAATTTTTTACTTCTGTCAAGGTCCTGCAATTTCTCGGTATAAGAGACAATTGTTTGTTTATATTTAATAACTGAAGACGATTCAAGGAAAGACTCAAACGAATTTTCAAATTGACTTTGTTTAATGCATTTATATTTATTTATATGAGATGAAAAAACTAATGTAATTAAAATTTTAACAAAATCGGCATAGCTGAGACGTGAACCATTCTAAATTTCTTTAGCTGAGATTTCAACCGAAATCCAGCAATTTTAGTTAAAATTTTAACAAAATTAACATAGCTAAGACACGAACCATTCTAAATTTCTTTAGCTGAGATTCCAACCAAAATACTTCAAATTTGTGCTAAATTGGTAAAAAATGGTTCGAATCTCGGCCAAACCAAAATCCAGCAATTTTAATTAAAATTTTAACAAAATCGGCATAGCTGAGACGCGAACCATTCTAAATTTCTCTAGCCGAGATTTCAATATTTAGCCCCGAGATTAGCGCTATTAGTCAACTCTTACTTGCCTGACTTTACTTGTGATTATTGTTTATTGCACTATAACATCTGTGCATAGGCTCTCATATGCTCTTTTTATCTGCCTGTGATTAAATACTAGAGAGCCTTTTATTTTTTATTTTTCTTTATCACTGTTGATGTTGTGTGTGATTGGATATCATGTTTCCTCTTCTTCTCCTTACGATATAATTACGATAAGTTTATGTTAAGTAAAATTGATGATAAGAATTGCGATATTATTGTCAAATCCAAATGAGTGTATATCAAACAACTAGAAATAATAAATATATATGAAAATATATAAAAATATGAAAATTATGACACAGTTACCGAGTTAAAATGTTGCATGCTATACAACGAAAATATACTGATGAGTCTCGACTACATATACATGACTTGCACTCAAATTATGCAACAGTCGCTTGTTCGACCCAGATTCTACTCAAGTCGCAAGTCTGAGTCGGTCTGCTTTGCTTGCAGGTTAACAGCGGCTCCCCGGCGGAAGCTGCCGGTCTTAAAGCTGGCGATGCCGTTATCAAAGTCAACACCACCGACATATACGACCTGAGGCACAAGGATGCGCAGGATGTCATAATCAAGGCTGGGAATAATTTCGAAATCACTGTGCAAAGGTGACGTATAGTGCGACATAATAATGCAACAAAAAAGCGGGTAACGCGAGAGTGTATGAAGTTGGCACCCCACTTTTTGAAATTTATAATTTTGAAAGTTGTTCCAGATTGTTCTGACTTTGTACCACATTGTTTCAAAGTGATATTGCTTTATTCGAAACGGTTTTCGAATAAAACAAAAAAA